TACTTTTTTCCCCCCTCACCCCTTCGATACGAATCGATCATCCTGAAATTTCAATTCTCCCTCCCTCCCTTCCTCCCTCCCTCTATTTTCTTTAACCGCGGCGACGAACTAACATCGAAATCGAAAGGCTCGGATATCTGTTTCGGGTCGCAAGTCGACGGATAGGGAGAAGGGTGGAACGACGACGAGATCCGAATATATTCTAATAGCGGTTTGAAGAGGCGTCGCGTAGGAAGAAGCGTCGAAGAAGCAAAACCGTTCACGCCTCCCATCTCGACCGCGCGCACGGTATCGGTTTGAAGAGAGGTGTAGCCTAGAGGGCTAATTTGAATTGCAGCGGCTCTTACGCACACGTGATCGCGCAAAATCGGCCGCACGTACACGTAGGAAAGAGGAGCGCGAAACGCGATGAAAAATACGGGAGGAGGAGAGGGGCTCCTCGCTACGTATTCGTGTCGCGAGTCTCTTGTACGTGTCTGCAACCACTTTCCTGGAAACAAAGCCAGTCGGATTCATAATCCGCTAATTTGTTCAAGATTTTTTGCTCGAGTGGCGGCGCTTGCTTTGTCACAAATCCACCTCGTCGATGGTGGAGCGCGTGGGGCTCGCGTTCAAGCCGCTTTGAAGTACTAATCAGTATCGACCTGCGCCTACAGGCCGCACCCCTTATCCCGTGCTTCCACCATCGCCACCCGCCCCCACCCCCTCCTACTCCTCCAAGCCCTCCGATGGCCGGGTGTTTCTCCCTTTTTTCCACTCGTTCCTCGACTTTCCGTCAGAAGCCATTCCGTCAGAGGCGTGACGAATCAACCCGCCAATTCACTCCTTTCTTTCCTTCCTTCCTTCCTTCCTTCCTCCTTCTCTTTCTTTCTTTCTTTCTTTCTCCCCAACCGAATCACTCCATCCCATTCCGTTCCATTCGATTCCATTCGATTCCATTCGATTCCATTCGATTCCATTCGAATTTTCTTATTCCAATTTATCGAACGGTACTCAAAATAACGGGTCAACGATTACAACGGGGGAATCCTCGGAACGAGAATTCGGTGCAAAGACTCGGCACACTTTTCCCAGTCCCTCGGATGAAAGGGGTACGCGGGAACAATGGAGGACCGATTGCGCCACGCGTTTTGCGGAATCGTTTCGCGGAGATGTGTTACCGGGACGATATCAAGCGTGAGAAAAAGAAGAGGAAAAAAAAAAGGGAAAGAAAGAAAGAAAGAAGGATAAAGGGCGCGAGATAAGGAGGGGCGGAAGAAAGTGGAAGAAAGAGGTAAAATGGGGAAGGAAGAAGAATCGAGGCGGCGCCGTGGCGAAAGCGCGCAAGATCGGCGGCGGAGGAGGAGGAAAGGAGCGCGCGGCGTGGAGGGAATAAAGGAAGAACAACGTTGTCGCGTGGCCGTGTGTGAGGGTGCGATAGAGAGGGAGAGGGAGACGGAGGAAGAGAGAGTGTGTGGGAGCAAGAAAAGGAGTGGACCGACGGGAGTGTGCAAGGAGACTTCTCAGGCGTTGATAGGCAATCTAGTTGATTGCCAACTTCAAACGAACCGAAAAAAGCGGAGCGAGGAGGAGAGACGAGCCGGTGTACAAGCCGGTGGAAAGGCAAAGCCTCGACGCGAACCGGCGCGAATCTCGGAATTTTTAGACAATGCGATCCGCACAGTTCCCGCATTCCGACCCCCCCTTCCTTCTCACCACCACCGATTAACGCGCTGGTGCCAAGCGAATCGATCATACGCCATTTACCATCCTTGAACATTCGTCGCCTCCTCGCTATCGCCTATTTAATCCTTATATACCTACACCCCGGTGTACCTACGTGTTGCCAATTTTCTTCTAGTCGATCTACTGTAATTTCTCTCCACGCGTGCGAACACGTTTCTTACTGGAAATCCTTCTTCTCCTTAAATACCGTGCGTTTTCGAATAATAAGAGTATTAAAGATTCTTCGGAAAGTTTTGGTTTCCGAATGGATACATCTCTTATTACGTATATCTTTCTCTTTCTCTTCGATCTCTAAATTTTAAATTTCCGTCGATCAACAAATGTTCAATATTCTTGCCACGAATTTTTCAGAGAATCTATCTGAATCGGAGGAACAAAGGATCGTTGATCGACGAGGGCTATTCAACGCGACAGATCAACTGCGAAATTTTCAATTTTCGTTTGGAGTAATCGATCTCACGACGATCGATATAATTATTATCGGGGACAAATCGAGCGGTTGCCCGGTCTGTGCTCTCGTCTTTAAGTCTGGCCAAGATTTAAGACAAAAAGGAACGAATGAAGTGCGCCAAATAAATGCGTACTGTAAGACGAGGTGCTAGAGTGACGTTTGAATGGAAGGGCAGATCCTTTGTGCTGCACCGGGAACCCGACACCCGAAAATCGTTCTCAAAAAATTCGTTATACGGATAAAATTTACTCGCTGCTTCGACCATCGTTGTTTATTATCGCGATATCATTTTGACGATAAAACGTCGTTTTATTCCATTAATGGTTACGATATTTCTCTTTTACATTCATCAAAATTTCTATTTCAACTTATGTAAATTATTCCAAGATTGATCGAGTTTCTTATTCTTCCTTTTAACCGGTTAACGAACTTAATTAATTCTTCTCAAAGTTTCTTCTCAAATGATTCCATACACGAACACTAGTATATCAAAAACTAGCGACTGTATAATAATTAAAAGAGAGGGGGAAAAAAAAAAATCTTATATAAACGAAACCCTGAGGTTTCGTCCATGGAAGTTGAGAACAGTTTGCTCGAGTGCGGCCATTTTTACGTTTTGTCGAGGTTCTTTGTGTTTTGGTGAGACATTGCAGGTCTGCCCAACACTCAACTCATTATACCACTAATTATTCATAACGTTGGGGATTATTCTGACAAAAATATTCAATTCCCACAGTGCACTCACCCCGGCACTACCCCTCTTTCTTTGCCTTATTCTTTCTCTCCGACTCATCTAACGTATCTGACGTTGATCCCCCGTAAAACAGCGAGTGATTTCTTCTGCCGTTCCAACAATCTCAAATCTACCTTTCTTCCGCGTTCGCGAAAATTTCCAATTCTCGAGGAGATTCGCGAGATACAATTTGTACAACCGTTGTTAGATAGAGTAGATATCATAAGTCACAACAGCTGTTGATCGAGCAAACTCGAGTTGTTTGCACGTAAAATCGACGTAATGATTTCATTTCGGGGCGTGAAGCCTTGGTCAGCTGTTCCTTTTTCCCAAAAATAGGCGAAAACTGGCAAACTACAATAGACAGGGAGAGAGAGAGAGAGAGAGAATTCTCTACTCGACGGATACACGACGAGGAAAGTCGCCTCGTCGATTTTCGGTAACACGATCTTGAGTGGCTCTCTGTTAAATGATATCCGTAAGTGGCACGTTAAGTGCTCGTTTCACGGTGGGACGACGATACGCCTATTAATTTACTTCAACCGACACGTGAGGGTTCATCCTTGTCTAAAGGTTGAAAAGCAATCCCCCTGATTGCCGATCAATGCTTTATTACGATGTCGACGTATCGATGGTGATGATGATGAAGAATGAATCGGTTGCAAACGTTCGTTAACAGTTCGTGAACGGGGAGGGAGGGGGGATCAATGGGAGCGGGGATCGAGGCACCGCGGTTTTTTTAATTGGTTTCTCGGTTTTCTTTTTCTTCCGCGCACACCCCCCGGTGTACCCGTGTAAGGAGCAACCGTGTTGTAAAAGGAAGTGCGGTTTGTATAGCGGCGTGGCGGAACGCCGTTCACAACGTCTCCTCTTCCGTTCAAAAGTTCAGCTCACTATTATTGTAAAAATTCGCGTCTAGGTAAGGAGAGAGAGGCGCGATGTAACGACGACGACGGTCTCGAGATCCTTGTTCCTTCTTCCTTCAACGGGGATCCGTAAGTTCCACCCTCTCTTCTTGTACCCTCGGCCAAGATGTAGGTCTTAACGAGAACGTAGGTGTTAAGATTGAATGAAGTGGTCGCTTGTTACCCGGTCACAATACGCGCACGGTTGTTGTGTAAAATTAATTATCAATTCTTCGTTCCCTTACCTCCCTCCCCTTTCTCCCCCTTCCCCTACCGGAATGAAAATGAAACAGTTAGAGGTTCCATTCGTGGAATAAATGGTACGGTTATAATTGTCCAAGTACAATGGGGCACGGGCTCGCGAGCGAAACGATTCGATGGAAACAATGTCATCTTAATCGTCATCTATAAATAAACGGGGCAAGTTTTAATGATAATGACGCATTAACGGTCGCCACGCGGCTCGATGTTGTTCCGCCGGTCCAGCTTCCAGTTGGAAGGAACGAGCGATAAGAAATTCGCGACGGAGCCATTTTCCCCTTGGAAAAGCGTTTATAGTTTTCTTCTAAGGGATCGTTGATTAAGGGAGCCGGGTAAGCCACCTGGATATTATTAACGTTACAATTTAATCTTAACGAAACGTTTGAATAAAGGGGAAATTCGTTAATCGAGGTAATCGTTGCCTCGAAATTATTTTTCCTAATATTTTTCGATCAAACGACAAAGACGTACGTAATTAATTATAATCTAATAATACGCATCTAACACGCGTTAAATAAACTTTACAACATACGCATGCGTAATTTTTGGAAAATTGAGAGAGAAACTCGACGATCAACGAATACGATACAAGCCAAATATATATAATATAATATAATAATATAATACCGTCTTATTCTTTAGACCTTAGGCGTCCAAAGTTGTAAAGTAAACACTATTCAAAAATCAAACATTGCATTGTACAACGTAAACGATCATCGGTATCGACTTATATTAAATGTTACAATTATCCATAAGATATTGATATGTATCTTATATTCGAAACCATTTGAAATAGTTAATCAATTGAATTAAATTAGCTCGAGTAAATTTCGCGCGATCGACACACGATTGAACGGTTGAACGGTCGAATCGAAAGATGTAAACGTAGGCGAAAGAAAGAATGATATTAAGGATGATAACTCACCATGGGGTGGCGTGTGCTGACTCGGACTGTGCTGATGATGGTTCGCGGTGACTGCGGTACCCGGAAGTACATGCTGCGCGTGTGCACCCGGATGCACGTTGACACCGGCCGGTGAGGCCGGAAGTTGTCCCGGTTGATGTACCTGATGATGCGGTACGTGGTGCGCGGGGTGGGGGTGGGGCGGCGGCAGGAAGGCAGCGGCGACGGCCGCCTGCGCATTCAGATAGGCCATCCGCGAGGCCGTGAGGTTGCCCAGATTCCCAAGATTCCCCAGATTGCCCAGATGATTGGTCAGGCTGGGCATGTAGTCCCATAGCTTGTGATGAGGCGCCGTGGGCGCGTAAGAAACGGCCGAGACGCCGGCCGGCGGTGATCCTTGGGGCGAGCCGCGATCGGTACCGCTTCCGTTTCCGGTACCGTTCAGCCCCAGCAGCTCCTGGATCGCGAACGGCGATCGCTGCGGCATCTTTGCGTTTCTCACCGATTATTATCGCGTCTCAAAACGGCATTATTCCCTTTCGAGATTTATCGTTTAATATCGCGGTCGCAACGATCCTTCTTTATTTTCTTCTCCAATCCAATCCCCCTGGTCAATGGCGCATGTTGAGCGTTGACTCGTTGAAAGAACAAGTTTCAAGAAGATCGTTGTTTCTCCGTCTGGCAAGCTATTCGATCAAATAGTTTCGAATAGTTGTTTTCTCGTTGCTGTTTCGTATCGAGATCGAGCCTCGATTCGTAGGAACTTTTGTTTTTTCTCTCTTTTCTTTCTTTCTTTCTTTCTTTCTTTCTTTCTTTCTCTAAGATTCCGAGTGTCGGAGAAAGGCTCGAATTCGTTGGGTTTCGTTCGAACCGTTACTCTCGATCGTTTACGGACGATCAAAAATTGTGGAACGATTCTCTTTCTCTACGGTGAAACGAGGAGGAATAGAAAAGAACGAGGCTATCGGCGTGGCTAGGCCTTGACATAACGCTTGCTCGAGATCCGACGGTTTGCGGCGAGCACTCGCATATTTCTCTATCTTGACTCGAGAATAGGAAAGGAAACCGATCTCTACTCCGATAGGCTTGCTACGAAACGATAGCTAATTGAGCGGTTCAAAGTTGATTTTCTAAAATATACAACGAGTCTCGACTTGTAATAAAGCGAAGATAATGACCGGGGGGAACCCGTCACCGGTTCTAAGTGTTTTCATAGATCTCCATCATCGACAATGCCGTGGAAAATGATGGTTCGTCGATAGATATTAGAATTACGAGCGACGTAAATTTAACTTATCTTCGTTGTAAAAGGCGGAGAAGCCGGGGATCCGTCGAACGGAGAAACTGAGGAGCAAGTTGCGGCGAGCGACGGCAACCTGCGAGCGTCGACTCGACTGAAACGAATCGGCTTCTCTCGGTAATCGGCGCGATCGTATTATCTCGTATTATTTCGTTTCACACTCGAACACTCTACTCTGTCTAGAAAACTACGAACGCGTCTTCAATCTCGCACTTTCAGCCTAAGTCTGTTCGTTGAATTGCGGTTTTCGTTGTGATCAGGTACGGATTCCTGGGTTCATCGCTCGAGTTCGTTCGAGTATTAACCGAGACACGTCCAAATACAATCAGGGCCTTATCTCCAGTGTCCAGGAATTCTATTCAACCTCGAGATAGCACGTGACGGGTTTCATTCATTCATCGCTTCTTGCCACCGAACAAAACTCTCCTTCGACCTCAACGATGCGCATGGAAATTCGTGGAACCGCTTTCTTTCATTCTCCTCGCGCGGGGATCGAATTTCAAGGACAACAGAAATCTTCCTCCGCCTCCTCCTTCGCTATATTCCTTCGCTCAACGGGAAAGGCACTCGTGCACCGAGACTCTTCCGCCGGTATCTCATACGAGGCCAAAAAAAAAAAAAAAGGAGCGGAACGAGACGGCCAATATCCCTTGGACAGAGATCAAGAGCAACGTCCAACGTCCGTTCCCGATTCCTTTTCCATTCTTTCCTCTCCCGATCTCTCACACTTTTACCCTTCGTCTCCTCTTCCTCTCTCCCTTTCCTCTCCTTTCCTCGAGAACTCGTGCACACTGGTCAAATCGCGAGGACTCGTCGTTCGGCTTCACCGTACAGCCAAATAACACTGACAGCACCACCACAGCTAGTCAAAGATCGGACCCATGTAGCATATACGATACTAAACTCCCATCGGTGGTCGTGTTCGATGGCCTTCCTCTCTTCTTCTCTCTCTCTCTCTCTTCCTCTCTTTCTCTCTCTCTCTTTCTCTCTCTCTCTCTCTCTCTCTCTCTCTCCCTCTCCCTCTCTCTCTCTCTCCCTCTCTCTCTCCCTCCCTATCTATCGGTATTTCGAAACTCGACCCGACTCGAAGCGAACTCGTAATAACCCGGCTTCAAGATAAGAGAAGCAACGTGTTTACTCTCGGGCTGGCCCCGGTCACGGTAACGGTCCGAGTGTCGTAGTGGCGCAACCGTGTCGTCGTCGCGGCGATGGGCAACTGAGCTGGCGAGCAGCACAGGGTTGCTCGACTGCGCGCCAGCCAACGAAGAAGGGAAACCCCCGGGGGCGGCTGTGCACCCGTACACGTACCCGCACACACTCACACCCTCTCGCGGAGGGTGGCGTTTACCCGACCCACACACCCCCTCCGGCGTCGCATCCCCCCTCCCCCCGCGCCCCGCTCTCTCTCTCCCGCACCGTATCCACTCTCTCCTTTCAACGAACCGGGATCCCTTCCCCTCCGTCACCGCCTGCCCTCCCTTTCTACCCGTACGTACGCGTACACAACCCCACTCCCGGCCCTTCTTTTCAACACTCGTCGACCCCTCGCAACAAAGGCGCCTCCGCTACTTTACGCGCCGACAGTGGCCGTCTCGCATCGCGGATTGGTCGGTTTTTTGAGACGGCCAGCCGGGTAGACATAGCCCTAGTTACCAACGGGAAGGTGGGGTCTACCGATGTCAACGCCTCAACCGGCTACGCCTACGACAGACCGGTTTACCACAGCCTGAAAAGACCTCGATCCGGAGCTTCCAACTTGGCCCGTCAGGATACCGCGTTTCTTCCTAACCCGCGAGAACGGGTACGCGCCGTGCACTCGATACCCCGCACGTTTTTTTTTTTTTTTTTTTTTNTTTTTTTTTTTTTTTTTTTTTTTTTTCACCAACCGTGGATACGAACGCGATGACCGTGACTCTGAACGCGATACCATACTCTCGGGAGAGTCGTATCGGTTCGTACTCCTTAAGTCCTCCCTGCGAAATTTCATTGCCAATTATTTTTCGAATTCGTGTCGTATCGTTTCTCTCGAGCAGATCGACGATGGATCGAGATTTTCTTTTTTTTTTTTGCTAGACGTATCGGTTATCCCACTCACTCAAATTGGTGTATCGATCGATCGATCGATCGATCGATTGAAAATTGCCTCGTTGCAATTTTTTTTCGAATTCCATCGTTCTATGGAAAGAGGGAAGAGGATACGAAACAGATGATTAAAATTTAACCCCCGGCCAAAGTTCTCGAAAGCAAAGTTTCGAGATCCTTTTGCTCGCCGAGTTTGGAGCAAAGATCCTCGGACAAAAATTGCGGTACGGTGAGACCGGCTTTCGCCCAGAAACCTTTATTAACGAAGGGGGAGTGGTCTGAGAACGGGCCAATCAGAAAGCGCCACTTTCAACCCTCATTGGCCAGGACGTAAATCGATTTATCACTCAACTCGTCCACGGTAGACAGGGGAAACACGCCCTTAAGGCCGTCCGACTTAAGGTCTACTCTCCTCGGATACCTTGCGCGACGCTCAACACCGCCAATTCCACTTGAGAAGGATGGTGGTGGTGTTGGTGGCGTTGATGGTGGTGGTGGTGGTGGTGGTGGATGGTGCGGCGGGGGTGGCGCGATCGTAGGAACACAGAAAGGGTGTGGAAACTCGTGATCTTCGCCGGCCAGCTTCCCGATAGTGTCGGAGGGAATTTTTTCAAAAGACAACTGTGCCCCGTGGTCGGATCCCAACTCTCAAAATTGAGCTATTTTTCGAAAACGAGCCTTTTCCTTCTCTCTCTCTCTCTCTCTCTCTCTCTCTCTCTCTCTCGTTTTCCTTCTCACTCCATTTTTTAAATTCTTTTCTTCCTATAAATTTTGTTATTTAATTTTGCATCAAAGGATTCGGAGGATTATTGCGAATAAGAGGAAGAACAAGCGCCTGAATGCGAATTTTGCGATTCCTCTTTTATTCAAATCTTATGATAATGAGATTTTCAGTAATGAGAATCTTTGATAACGACTAGATCTGTAACTTTGATTGTAAACTCGTTACTCGATAATTTTCTAGGCCGATGGAAAATCAAGAGAGGAAGGATTGAAAAGATTGGACGTGAATAGAAACGCGAGAAGAACTCGAAAAAAATTGTATTCCAAGAATTGACAAAGTGTAAGTACGGAGGACACGTGTACATTTACGTTAGTCTAACGTTTGTCAGCAATAACTGCAAAGAAGCGTAATACCGATGCTGAGATGGTCTTTTTATCGGCGAAAAACTCGCGCATCTTCTTCGAGGGCGAGAAGCAAAAAGCGGAGCGAGAAAGAGAAAGGTTTTGTGCTCGAAGCTTTGTTTCGGTAAAATATCTCGGAGTTCTTGCGTTCGTCTCTTCAGCCAAGGAGAGGTATAAGAACGGCCTCTTCGTTTCTAGTCTCATTCGTTTGTTCTTTATATTAAGAAATTATTGTTCGTTTTCAGCCGTTCTTATGGAAAAGGATCTTGGTACAAAAATTACAATGATTACTTTGATCTTGAACATCACGTACAAATATTTGCAAAGACAGATTAAAAAGGATTATTTAATTATATAAATTTTCTTTTTCGATCGATCTTTTGATTAATTTTTTAAATCGTTTAAATTCTTCCTATAACAAAATGATATCATCGTTGCTATTGCTATACATCATATTTGCTTCACATTTATCTCTATACTACTCTCTTCGTTCCTATTATTAAGCATTTACATATTACAATTGTTATCACCTCTTTCTTTTATCATATTTCAAATATATTTCGGAAAATGAAATTAAAATTTTCAATTTGTACGATTTACCGAATTTCTTCTCTACGGATCTCGAGCGTAGCATTCAGAAAATATTCTAAAAAGAGAAAACTGAAACGTACAAGATCTTGGTAGAAATTAAATTTCGAAATTGGAAATACAAGCCGATCGTGTGGCACGCATCATCGCTCGCGCAAACACGGTTACCCAACGCGTTGAACAGCGTTGAGGCTCGAAAATCCGGTGGATCCCTGAAATTGCAATTACTCCGTGTCGCCAGGGGAATTTCGAAGGATTTGAAAAAAATGCTTAAACTCGAGTATATATCGCGAACGAAGGCGGCGAAGGAGGGGGGGGGCCCTCGTTTGCCACCGCACTTCAACGACTTCAGAATCGAGCACTTGCTTTACTTCTTAACTTAACCGATTATT